GTATAAAATGAGTTTTATCACATACATGTACATTAACTGCCGTAGTAATATACTATTGTAGTACTGTCCCAAAGAATCTGATTTGAAGTCAAATGTTTATTGAGGATTATATATTAATTGTTGTTCTCTCAATCAAATCAAAATTTGTTGGCTTGTTTAATTCATAATTTTTGCGTATGGATATTTCAATAAAAACGCATAGCTATAAAAAAAAAAACAAACAAATATTACTTACGAAAATAATTATTTCATGAGACGAATATGTTTAATGGCGATAAATGCACTTCTAAATCTCATTAATCAATTTATTAACTAAAAAGATTGTTCCTTCAACGCAAAAGAATAAATGTTATGTAACAGACAGAAGGAGGCGTGGCAGACCCCACAAAGTATTTATAAGTCGAGTCGATTTGGCCCGTCCGTCTGTCAGTCTGTCCGTATGTATGAGCGCGTCGATTTCAGAAGATATAAGAGCTAGAGACTTCAAATTTTTTTGAATGTCCGTACATAGCACGCGCACTAACACTAAAAATTGATAACTTATCCCGTTATTTTGTTATCGATAAAAAAACCTTATCGAAAATCAGGTATAAAATTATATCTCCTACATCTTTAAGACTAAAGTCTCCAAATTTTAAAATATATTAAGATGAATTTTATACAATTTCGATTTTTGTTAAAATTTACATTCTCCTCTATATCCACCCCCTCACCCTCATATTTGTAAATGCCGTATTTTAAATACTACAGACTTGTGCTTCGGTATATACATGCATTTAAATAGTATGATTACTTTCTGAAAGTTTCATTAAGATTGTACGCCTAGAAATGAAATTATTTAATAAATAAATTTTCAAAATATTGTCAACACCCAAGCACCTGTATATGTGCGTGTGTTTGTTTGTATGCGTGTTTGTGTACGAATTTGTATTGAAATATCAGTTGCTTGGATGATTCAGGGGATCTCGTAGTCGAGCAGTCTCGATTAGAGCTTTCTTACTTGCTTATATTTATAAATGTAGCCCAAAAGTAATTTGGTATATATCTATTTCATATTATAAGAACTTGACACTTGACAGTAAAACCTTTAATCCAGGGTTAATATTGGACGAAAGAACGTGTAGTACTACAGCACCATCTTGCAAGACTAAAAAATACCGTGTAGCCTTAATTATTTGATTATTTACTAAAAGAATGAGTGTTGTGTTTAGTTGTCTGTTCTGCTTTAACTATATAATATTAATAAGTTTATATGCAGAAAATATTAAGAAAATAAATTAATAACTTAATTATGAAGATAAGGTAGTTGTATTTGGACACAAAAGGAAAACTCTTTTTATATCATTAACATACCTGATCCGAATATTTGAATATATAATCTTTATAAATATCTCAATTCCATGCTAATTTATATGTTATTTTACATTTAAAAATCTTTCAATAGATTGATTACGAAATAAGAAAACTAATTTTAATTATTAATTTACCGGATTATGTATTATTAATTTATTTTCACTCACAATAGTAAAAGAAATTCGAACGCTTTTTTTTTTAGATATTTCCGTTTTGATATAGATTTTTGCTTTGAGGTATGCATTTCCTATCTAAATATTTATGTGATTATCGTTTAAATAATATTCAACTATACTTACTAGATTTTTTATTTCATATAAGCTCAAATTCCCAACGGAAATGTTCGTTTTATGCAAGTAAAATTAAGTATAAAAATTACAAGGAACTTTTCTACGTTGAAACACGAACACTACAAATGCATTAAAATTGAGTTAAAGGATGTTATCCGACGCTCAAACATTTTTTCTTACGTAGTGACATGCGTCTTATGATTTCATGTTGACAGGCGAGCGAGGTAAGCTGTATATCTACAAATATATATGTATTTAGATAGGATACACAAGCACATTCATTCCAATATATAAATCTCTGTCTATGTAGTTGAGTGTGTATGTATGAAATGGTACATACACAAGTATATCCAGCATGCGAAAGAAAACAGGGAAAACTCCCAAGCCCGTATTAAGTTAGACCGTGGAGCATGTTAACCCGGAATGACACACAAAATGCGCTGGATCTGACATATACATAGGGCCCACAATGAAGCATTGCGGTCGAAAGCTGGCATGTGAGAGTGGCGTGAAGGGACAAAGCAAATGGCAAACTACGCACATGTTTTTTTCTGTCAAAATTCTGTCAATTTTTCTACAAACATTTTAGCGCTAAATTATTAAGTGCCAAATGTCGGAAGTGTCGACATTATTAAATACAAACAAGTATCTTTGTATGAAATGTGTACAAGATTTCACATATTGAGAAAGAGGCAAGAGTACGTCAGTAGATATTGCGTACAATCGTAATATGCAAGATATTTATTATGCTTTGGCAAATTTTCTTTACAACAGAGCCTGGTATAATTTTAAAATGGATGGTAAATTAATATTATAGCTGATTAGATAATACTTATTTGCTTATTTGTTTGTATGCTGACTCCATGATCAAGCGCCACAGCTTATAATCTATCTATAATCTATATTTAATTCCATTGTTTTCTGTTCATATATGTATGTATGTGTGTATGTATGTATGTACATTCATATGCATACTATAAGGAAAGAGTGTCTAATATAAATTCATATCTAAACAACTGTTAAATTGTGATGAGGCAAATAATAAAATAATTTTTTCATTTTTGACTTCAGCTCTATAATTAAACATATTTACATATGTATATATAATTGGAATATACACGATAAACATGTCTTACATATTTTGAATACTCTTTCCCATTGAATGTACTTCTATACCTTAATAAGTGAGTCACCTTTGCCTTGAAAAACTTGTTCAAGAGGTATATATGATAAATCTTAGCCCCTTTCGTGGTACATGAAGCCCCTATAATAATTGTCTTAGAGCTTTCTGACATCTTTTCAAAAGATAATGTTTAGTGAGTTCTTTTACATAAGCAGTAGCTTGGGTAGCTGAAATGTTGTGGACTCTTATTTGAAATGTATATGTAGAAATATGATAAAATTCTCGTCTCGTGGTGTTTGTTGCCAAACTCCTCCGAAACGGTTCGACCGATTCTCACGCAATTTTGTACCTACTCGACCAGCAGGATAGGTCTGACAATCGGCCAACATCTATTTTTCATGGCCCTATTTTTAAATGATGGGGCACTTCACTTCACGCGACGTTTTTTGTGATATTATTCAGTGACGCATGAACCCATTTAAAATGGGGAATCAGGGTAAAATGGTTTTGTAAAATGTATGTAACAGAAAGAAGGAGGCGTGGCAGACCCCACAAAGTAAATATATTGTTGATCAGGGCGAAGAGCTAAGTCGATTTAGCCCTGTCCGCATTTTATATAATTTCGATTTTGGTTGAAATTAACCCCCCACTTCTATATCCACCCCCTCACCCTCACCCTCATCTTTGTAAAAGTCATTTGAGTGTGTGTGTGTGCGTGTGTTTGTTTGTATGTATTTGTTTGTATGCATGTGTGTGTGTGTGTGCGTTTGTGTGTACTAATTATTATTGCAATATCAGTTGATTGTAGGGTTCAGTGAATCTCGTATTCGAGCAGTCTCGACTAGAGCTTTCTTACTTGTTATACCCTGAACCCATTGAAAA